GCAAACCTAACTTGAATATGATTAATTTTATGTCTTGTTTCTTTTTTAAGCTTGTATTTGTTCCATACATTTTTCGAAGGATAGTTTTGAAATACCCTTACAACAGAGGCTATTAAACTACTCCACTAAGACTGGTAGAAACTTAAAACAAACAGCAGTTCCTACTGAAAATCTCCCATTGAAAAAAAGACAATTGTCTGCAGAAAGTGAAGATAGATTAAGAAGGCAGGCAAAAAGATATCGACAAACATTTATTGAGAGCTTTGTTAATATTTCGGGGCATTCCAGACAATTGTCAACTGCAGACCAGGACAAGGAGAATCAAAGTTTGGAAACAGACACTCAAAATATATTGGTATCATCAGAACTAGAAACGTATGTACAAATTTACCTTATTAACAAAAAATGTGGATTTGAAAAGAAAATTACACAACTTAGCATATAATAATTAACATTACAATCATTTCAAAACAATTTTTTTATTAAATATTAAACTTTGAAGTGATAATTGCTTTTATTTCAATATTAAAAATTAAATTATTATTTTAGAGAAAACTATTAAGAGTCTTCGTGAAGAACTAAACAAAATTACTGAAAAATGCAACAAATCAAATATAGAAATACTTTCATTGAAAGAAGAAATTAGCCAGTTGAAAAATAATTCTCAAGTGGAAATTCAGGAAAGTAAAGTAAATGTTTCACTCCGGGTCAAATAAATGTTTTATACAATGAAAATAAAAAAAGAATTCGTTGAAGTTCGGATGACATAGCATCCACAATCTCCCTAAGAAGCATTCGTCCTAAGGCTTATAGATTTTAAGAACTGTTCATTATCCTTTACCTGGGTTTACTACCTTAAGAGACTGGCCTAAATGTTTAAATTTAGAACAATACATATACATTATAAAGTGTTAAGCAAGATAAAGAAGTAAACATTATGTATAAACCATTTTTAAACATAAATAAATCAATTTAAAATAACACCTCTGTGCTTTTTATTAAAATAAAGTATGTTTTGCCAAGTGTTTCTATTTATTAAATACATAAAGGGGTTTACCAGCACCCAACCATACAAGAAAGTAATTGATCTGTGCATACAAGTTATTGATATCCATGTTTGATGACTAATTTAAAATTAAATTATTACATTTATAATCTATAAAAGTGACCACATACTTCCAAACTGATTATTCAAGAAAATTGGCGACTAAAAAAATATACTGATCATAATAAAATTCATTTCACCTTAATTTTATTGTTCAGCATTCGTTAACATTATACACAAGTTTACTTGAATCGATTCAAAATTATTTATTGTTGAAGAATTAATTACATTCTTATTAACAAAGATAGATAACATAAGTTAAAATTCAAAGGAAAAAAAACAAACAAAATACTTATTCATAAATGAAATTTTTTATTTTAAAATTTTTTAAATTCTAATATCAAGACAAAATATAATATAAAAACAAAAATGCACAACCTAAGTACAAATATGACAATCGAGAAATATATATACAGGAGTATACACATAAATTAAAATGAACTACTTAATTCAAGGAATCAGAAAAATTTATCCACTTTGTAGTATACCTTTTTGAGCAAGAGTTTCTTGCTTTTTAAACATATTTAATGAGTCAGCACTTCCTATTATTAATTAATTGGCAAGAGGTTAAACATTTTTCCACTATACAGGGGACACTACATATTTCAGTTTCACATTTAAATTAGTTATTTGTGTATGCCTTTTATTAGTTCCAATTTTTATCCCTGCTGAGCCACTAAAACTTTTTAATGGTAATGTCTCTGTAAGTTTAGGTACGTTTTGGCTATCATCTTGATCTCAATCTATCAGATAGCAATGCTAGGTATGAAGATTTAAATCCTAGATGTAACATCCTCTTCCAAGTTTTGTGATGGAAAAATTCAGTTTCTGATGAACACTATCTTTTTTACGCCAGAGAGAAACTATATTAGGCTAAATTCCTTACACCATGGCTAAATTCGAAATAAATTACCTACTTTTTTTGTATAAAAGCACAAAATATTTTTTTTATTTGGCATTACTTTTGTACAAGCGTCTATCTGCCTATAGTGACTTTTCTTGTAAGTATTATTGAGCATAACTTGATGTTATTTGACGCAGTTGTTATTTTCTTCTAAATATATTTTCAGTTTTATAATGATTATAGAACTAGGAAATAAAAGTTAAACTTCTTGACAATCATTACAAAATGTAAACAAAGCCATGGAATGGCATGGCAGTGTATAGGCGGCCGTGGCAATACCGATGTTGACGTCATAAAACCTGCGCACCGCTTCACCTGTATCCTTACACCATGGGTTTACCCATCTCTATGACAGATGCCATACACAGTGCTGCCATTTTCTGAATTATTAAGTGACTTTTAAAACAATGAAACCTTAAATATGGTAAAAGTTTAAACAGAAATAATACTTTAAAAAAACATTTGATATTATATATTTAAAAGATATTTGTTTAACGATGTTTTAGAAGTCTAAAAGTAAGAAGGAGTACACAAACGAACGTACATCACTTCTCGTAAACCTTCTAGCCGGCAACGTTGTGCGCTAGCTCCTATTGGTCTATTCCCGGTGACGTCATAAATTTTAAAAAAATTCATAACTCCGGCAAATGAATAAAAAAAAAAATAAAAAAAATGTAATTTTATTTTCAACTCTATTATTCATAAAAAAAATTTCAAAATTTTTGAACATGCCCCATTATAAACTTTACTTCAAAGAAGTTTCTTGTATATTATTTAAAATAAACGTTTCTTCTACATTTGTTGCCTTCATTTAAAATCTCAAAATATCAAGATGTAGGCTACCAGTTTAACATTTTGGAAAAATATGTGTTGCCTAACCTAGTAGTAAAGGCATCAAAATGGCCGCGCCCTATGTTAGGCGTGTCGGACGTCTTTCTTGCACCCTATAGATTTCAAAGTATGTGCCCTTATCTCTGGCATTGGTGTCAGAATGGAACACGATTTCTTACGGCATTACGAGTCATCTCTACTTTTACTTAGTTTACTGGTTTTTCTATGGTCTAAGAAAAGAGCCCTAAAATTCGGTAGATGAGATCGGAAATCAGTGCCGGTCTTGGATAGGGGTGGGCAAAATAATCGATTAATCGATTAATAATCGAATAGTCGATCATTGTATATTTTTTAAATCGATAATCGATTATTTTCGATTAATCGATTATTTTCGATCAATCGATTATTTTCGATTAATCGATTATTTTCGATTATTCGATTATTTTCGATTAATCGATTATTTTCGATTAATCGATTATTTTCGATTAATCGATTATTTTTTATTACGATTATTTCCGATTAATCGATTATTTTCGATTAATCGAATATTTTCGATTAATCGATTATTTTCGATTATTCTATTATTTTCGATTTATCGATTATTTTCGATAATCGATTATTTTCGATAATCGATTATTTTCGATTAATCGATTATTTTCGATAATCGATTATTTTCGATAATCGATTATTTTCGATTAATCGATTATTTTCGATTAATCGATTATTTCCGAATAAATTATTTTAAATAATCGATTATTTATTTTGATAATCGCCCAATGATTACATCGAACTCTTGTTCTTGAGTAAAACTTAGTTTCCTATTTTAATGCCAAAAAGTGACAGACACAAAAAAAATTATGGAAAAAGTCCGTTGCCCTCCCCCTAATGAGATGCTTATGAACGCAATAGAAAAATTGATGTCATCGTCATCAGTTGGTTAAAAGTAACATTAATAACTTAAGTATTAACCCTAGAACAATGTCAACTCACTTATTGTGACATAACTGATACTTAAAAGTTGTCATAAAAATCACTAAGAACGGCCTTTTTCAGTAAATTTCTTATTTTACCAGATAACGTGGGATACAATTCTTGTTAAAAGCTTGTTATGACAAAAGTATTATAAAATTTTAAATGTTAAATCGAAATCCAAAAAAAATGAGTGCATACATAATTAAATTAATATTTGAAGTAAAAAAATATATCTCCGTATATGAGGCTGTATATCAAAGGGGGCATTTGTTGATGTTTTTTTAAATAGTTTAGCTGATTTCCGACGAGCAACCCATTCCGTACACCAATTTTTTTTGAGGTCTTCAATAGGGGTTGGCAAAATAATCAATTATATATATATTTTATATTCGATTAATCGATTATTTTCGATTACGATTATTTCCGATTAATCGATTATTTATTAATCGATTATTTTCGATCAATCGATTATTTTCGATCAATCGATTATTTTCGATTAATCGATTATTTTCCATTAATTGATTATTTTCGACCAATCGATAATTTTCGATTACTCGATTATTTTCGATTAATCGATTATTTTCGATTAATTCGATTAATCGATTATTTTTGATTAATAGATTATTTTCGATTAATCGATTATTTTCAAGTAATCGATTATTTTCGATTAATCGATTATTTTCGATTAATCGATTATTTCCTATTAATCGATTAGGTAAAGTTGCAGGAAAGGTATGTACTGACGCGCATCCTAGCCGCGCATATAAAATAATTGTTTTTTTTACACAGTATAACTGTACAAACATTATCAGATTGCTACTTTTATATTATTAATAAATAATATCTAAGTAAAATAACAAATAAATAAATAAATCAATAAATATAAACAAATACGCGATAAATATAACGATGTTTACATATGCGCGGCCAGGATGCGCGTTAAGTACATACCTTTCCTACAACTTTACCATCGATTATTTTGGATTAATCGATTAATCGAAAATAATCGATTATTTTAAATAATCGATAATCGATTATTTATATTGATAATCGCCCAGCCCTAGTCTTGGAACGTAACGTGCCGGTAGAATACTTTCTAAATTGGTAGATATACTGAAAAATCAGTAGAATTGGCAAAGCTGCACCGTCATTAAATTGAGAACCAAATTCCCTAAAAGAAATAGTCCACAAGTATAATTCAAAACATTAAAAAGAAGAAATCCAAACTAACCTCTATTTGCTTGGGTTCGACAGTTCACATTTCGGCTTTTAACAAAATATAAACAATTCTGGTTGGTGATTGTGGAAACTTTATTTAATTAAAAATGTCTGGTGGAATGTTATACGGTGGAGATGAAATTGGTGCCTTAGTATTCGACCCAGGACACCATTCTTTAAGAGTAGGATACGCTCAAGAAGACACCCCAAAAGCCGAAATTCCAGCTATCGTAGGCGTAGCACCTGAAGACGTGAAACTAGAACCTGAAGTTAAACCTGACGATAGCAATGTTTCCTCCAACACTGCTTGTACGTAATTTAATTTTATTTTATAAGAAGTGACTAGGTATAAGCTTATTATTTTTCGATTTTGTTAGGAATATGAATGAAATATTGTGTATAGTTTTTTCCTCTAGTATAAAAGCTTTTATGCACAGCTTTATGAATGAAGCACTAAATTGTGAAAATTTTAATTATCTGCAATAGAAAGACTATGGTTTCTAGATTTGTTTCTTAAATTTTAGCAAACAAGTATTATATTGATACAACATATCTCCATGCCCCTAGACCAAACATGGAACTGCAGAGTTACATGAAAGATGGCATGATCGAAGACTGGGACTTGTTTGAAAAAGTTATGGACTATTCATATAGTAAGGTAAAAACTATAAATATAATTTTCATCTTGGAAATCTGTAAAACACCATATCTGATTTTTAGATTATTCAATCAGAATCTCAATTCCATCCAGTCCTTTTCTCGGAATCGCCTTGGAATCAAAGACAAAAAAGGGAAAAACTGACAGAAATAATGTTTGAAAAATATAAAGTTCCTGCTTTTTTCTTGGTTAAAAATGCTGCATTGGCTGCATTTGCCAATGGCCGAGCTACAGCACTTGTCATTGATAGTGGTATGTACCTATTAATGAATATCTATAACATGATATACAACACTTCATCTGTAAAATTTATAAGTAATACTTAGGTACTTTTAGTACCCCTGTCACTAAACTTATTGGTTTTGAGTTGGATTTTAGGCTTAATTTAAACATCCATATAGAGTGTTTATGTAAGAAATTAAATTATATTTTGAATTTATAACTCTGAAATATAACAATTAGAGTGATTGAGCTGGTTGTCGGACCCTTAAGTAAATCTTAGCAGGAAAACGTACATAATTGAGTCAGTTTTTCTGGGTATATTTCTTGCCTAGGGTCATAATTAATCACTGTAATATTGATAATATAAAGGGAAACAGTAAAATATGTTATGTGAATATTTTTTAAAATTAAGTTATTAAGGAAAAGTTGGGAAAATCACCTTCTGTCAGTTTTCGGATACTCTGGACAAATTTCCAGACACTAGTGAACTATTTTTCAGATAGGTGACCTAAAAAGTCGTATTTCTTAACCATAATCAGGTAGGTATTAGCTGGAAATTTATTGGGAGTAAAATCTGAGGCATTTTAAAAAATTTATGACAGGATTAATTACAGTAATAACATGATTAATTACAACAATAAACAAATTATAAATTAATCATAGGTAAATAAGTTAGCACCTAGGTGTGGGCACCTGGATGTGCTAGACAGACTAAAAACTAATACATAAAGATTAAAAAACTAATACATAAAGATTAAAAAACTAAAATATAAATGTTAAATGTAATAAGGCAGCAATTTTATATTATATAATATGTAATAATGTTATAATCTTGTAATCTACAGGGTTCCAACATATTACACTGAGATGTGTGTTATTCTAAGAAGAATCTATACAATTTTGAGTAGTTTTGGTAGATGAAGGATTTGCACGCTTTCTTAAATAAATGTTGTTTGTTAATTAATTTGATCTCAGGAGGTAAAGCATTGTAACACTTTGGTCCTAAGTAATTTATACAATTTTTGAAAGATTCACTATTAGGCATAGATATAAGTTACTAAAAGTTCTGGTTTTGTGTTGATGACCCAGAGGTTTTTTTAGTACCTCATGTTTTTGTATGCAACAGCATATTGTGTTCATGTATAAACTTCTAACATTAGATATTGTTTCAATATATAGTAGAATAGTAGGATATAATCGCTGTTTGTTGAAGATAATTTTCAGTATTTTATTTTGTATGACATTTAGTGGTCTAAGGGTTATTTCATATAGGCCTCCCCATACTAGTATACCATAACGTAGAATAGATTCTACCAATCTAAAATATAGGCTTATTAAGAGATTTTGTTAAATTGTTTTAAAAGATAAAATTTATAGATTATAAATCTAAGCTTTTTTGATATATTTGCTATATGAGAGTCCCATTTTAGATGTTGGTCTATAATTATACCCAAGTATTTAGAAGTTTCTGTTTCTTGTATTTTAGAGTCCAAATTACTGGTAACTATTTCTTTAAAATGAGGGCGATCAGCTAATGTTTTAGAGAATCCTGTATAGTTCGTTTTTTTTTTTTGATATTTAAGGATAATTTAAAAACGTCTAACCAGTTTTTTACATGTTCAATTCCTTGTATGGCTTGCATTTTTGTAGATTCCCATTCTTTACTACTGAAGAAGAGCACAGTATAGTCTGCATAAGAAATTACTTTACCTTGAATGTCAATCTCAGTCAAGCCTTTGATGTATAAGTTGAATAATATTGGCCCTAAGACAGTACCTTGAGGTATACCAATTTGTACATATTCAGGATTACTAAGACTATCTCTTATTTTAACTTGTTGTTCCCTCTGAGTCAGATAGCTTTCAAAGACTTTCCATGCAGTGCCTCTTATGCCATTCTTTTCAAGTACATTGAGAAGTTTTTGGTGTGGCAATGTGTCAAAAGCCTTTGCTAAATCCAAAAAGGTGGCGATACATTTTTTATTGTTGTTCATTTCTTCAGCTACATGAGATATTAGTGCATGCATAGCATCACTCGAATTAAGACCCTCTGTAAAACCATATTGATGCTGAGGAAGCAGATTGTTAATTGTTAAGTATTCAATGAGTCTCTCTTTCAAACATTTCTCAAATATTTTTGCGATATTACTAATTTAACTGATTGGCCTGTAATTGCCTATTAAGTTTGGGTTACCGGTTTTATAGATCGGGGTTATAATGGATTTTTTTAAATGTTTCGGTACAATCCCAGTACAGAATATTGTATTAATTATGTTTTAAGGGAGTTACAGTGAACGGATGTAATAGTTTTAAGTGTTTTACTGATACACAATCAAATCCAGGAGTAATGTTGTTCTTTAGGCTATTTATATATCTAATTGTATCATTGTCACAAATAGGTTTTAAAAATATTGACTTAGTTATCATCGTTTGTACAGGGTAATTTATTTTACAATCACGAATGGTTTCATACATTTTTGTACCAATAGAGGTAAAATATTTATTACAATAGTTCGCCATTTCTTTGTCAGTATTGAAATCTTTATTCCCATCATCAACAATTACCAAGTGGTTTTGACTTTTTTTACAGCTGTCATTTGTAACTTCTGAAATTATCTGGTAGGTTTTTTTTTTAAGTTATTCTTGTGTTTATTTATTTCATTTTTATAGTAATCATTTTTTGTTTTCAATATTAATTTATTTAAATTGTTTCTAAAAATTTTATATTCATTTTCTTTATTAATGGAGTGCTTTTTTTGTAATTGCTTTTTTAGTTTATCTGTTTTTGATGGAATTGATTAAGCCATTTGTTATCCAAGGTTTTATCTTTTTATGATTTTTTTGTTTATTTTTTTTTACAATTTTACATGATTCAATACTATTGAGATATTTGTCATAGAACTTTTGAGTTGCTATTTCAGGGTTATTTTCATTGAGAACACTTTCCCATGTTAAAGCTTCAAATTTAGAAATTAGTTTGTCAGTATCAATTTTAGTTATAGTTGTATAGGTAGTTAGAGATTTTGTATTATTTATTGAAAGAGGTTTTGAAATATTTATCATAACCGGATCATGATCGGTTAAATCGTAGTTTATCACATATGAGTTGAATTTTAATTTTTCGGTTTTAATATTGTTTCTTAAAAATATGTGATCCAAACAGGTTTTACTCTGAGCCCCTGTGATTGTATTTATATAAGACAAGAAGCCATTTGAGTGAAGAGTTGCTTCGTAGTTATTTGTGATATGATTTTTTCCGTCCAGGAGATCGATATTAATGTCTCCTATAAACATTTCAATACTTTTGTTTAGGTGAGTGGGGATGTAATTTTCTATGTCTCGAATAAATGTATCTGCCGAAGTTTGAGGAGACCTATATAAAGCACTAATGCCAATAGTTGTATGATTTGCTGTTATGTTTATTTTAGTAATACAAATGCCTGAAAGTTCGAGCTTTATTGTGTTTATTTCTGCATTTAATTTTGATTTGACTAAAACTATGACACCATCATTTCTATTAATATTACTGTTGTTGTAGTGTATGTTGTAACCCTGTAGATTAAACTGTGAGGTAGATTCTAATTGAAAACATTCGGATAATATAATTACGTCACAAAATTTTATATCATAACTTTCTAGGAATAAGATCAACTCATCAAAATTCTTTTTAATACTTCTGATGTTGAGATGCATGACATTAAGGAGTTTTTCATTTAAATTAATTTTACTTGTTATATTTGGAGCATCAATAATTTCATTATTAGTATCGATTTTTATAGAGTCTAATAAATCGTTTTCACTTACAATTAACATTGAGAGCCGGAATAATTTATTTTATTTCTTAAAATTTGCTGGTGATACTTCAAAGTTGGACATTCACGGTTGTTGTTTTCATGGTCAGTGGCGTGTTGTGTATTATATTTTCTATTTGTCTGTTCACAATTTTTACAAAAATTTTTTAATTTCTTGCACATATTTTCTTCATGTTCTTCAGAACATATGGGACACACTATTTTATTTTGACAGTTAATTTTTTTATGGTAGTATTCTTGGCAGTTGAAACATTTTGGTATATTTATAAACCATGTATCTTTCCCATCCTAGACATACTTTCTTCATATTTATTATTTTGTGGAATGCTGTTGGTGAGCACTCACAGAAAACTGTTTGGGAGTTATTTGTATTTCTTTTTATAAATGTCACTTTGATTTCATCAATTATGTGGTTTTGATCTCTCAAGTAGTTTTCAATTTCCGTTTCTGTATATTCTTGGATAACATTAACAATTTTTATTTTTGGATTTTTTAATTTGCTTATTTCGATGTCATAGTCGTCATTTAAGTTATCCTCTAATGCTTGTCTTAGGATGTCCAGTTCATTTTGATTTTGACAATTGATTACTGTAGTACCATGTTGTGTTGTTTTCATGTTGGTAATGCCAATCTTAAGTTTAGCTGGATTAATCTTAGCATCTATATCTTTTTTGGTTTGGATGGGTGGTTGTTGTTGTTTTGGCTTTATGATTATTTTCGGAATATTAGTTTTTTTGGGTTGTTAATTGAATTAAATTTATTTAATAAAACAATATTATTAAAAACAAAACTTTAATGGTAAATGTCCAAAAATTTATTTTAGTTACAATGTGTTTAATATTCATGTCGCCGGGTGTCCATGCCAGCTACTATTTTTCAGTTATTGTTGTTTCATAGGCCTAAAAACACTGGCGTCTACAGGTGATGAAGCATATAATTTGATATTGTTCTGTTTGCAAGCAAAACTTACAGTCCTTTGTGTCAGTCTATATATAATTTTCTGCGAGCCAGGAGTTGAACGTATTTGATATAGGTATATTCATAAATTAATTAATTAATATACAGTGGCACGGTGAACTTCAGGTCCCGTTTTATGCGTTTTTCGCGTGTCACCCGTAACTTAAAATTTGTGAAATTTTTGCAATTTGATTGTTGAAGGTGCAGCCGATATTTGTGATTTTTGTTGAAAATTCTTCAGTGATTAAATTATGATTTTTTC